CTCCTGCATCGGCAGGCGGACCCTCAAGCACTGCGCCACCAGGGAAGCCCAGTTTTTTTTTTATTTTTGCCAATTCACTTTTATTTGTCATAAAAATAAAGGAAAAATGGAATGATTATGCATATGCTATAAACTTTCACATGTATATTCTCTCAAACAGCTTGAAAGTATAGGTGAATATGTTAAACCTCACCATCAACTGAAAACCACTGTGACTGTGGATCACAGTGTGGGCAATGACACTACCTTTCTAGTCACATGGCAGACCAGTGGTCCCCCTGAGATTGTATTATTTGATCCTAATGGAAGAAAATACTACACAGATGATTTTACCACCAATCTAGCTTTTCGGACTGCTCGCCTCTGGATTCCAGGAACTGCTAAGGTAGGTATTGTAAGCTTGTTCGTAATGACAACGTTTAGTCAACTACGTGACTTTCAAATGGATCACAGAATTAAATGCATTGTGTAAAGGAAATCCTATTCTGATATACCAAAATTTTACTTTAAATTTATGAGGGATTTTTTGGATGTTCAAAATTTAAGAGGAACTACTAAGGTATGTTCAAAACTTTAAATAATGGACACCAAAGGCTTCTCACTTCAACAGTGGAAATTAGTATTTATGTAGTACAAATAATTTCTTTTTGTTTACTTCCTTCTTTACAAAATCTGTATCAAATACTTAGAAAAAACCCTCTACTTAGAATTTATAATATAAATACATGCAATATATATGTTTTTGAGCACCTACTATGTGCAGCGTCTTGTTCTAGGTGCTTTACAATAAAGTGCCATAATAAGAATAAGAACAGGGTACTCAGAGCACACAGGAGGCATGTGCAGGCAGTGGGGGAAGGAGAGTGCTTCCTGGAAGTGAAGACATCAAAATGGAAATGTGGAGGCCTAAGGGGCCAGAGGTGTGAATAACATTCTGGACAGAAGAAACAGCATGCAGGAAGGCTGTGCATTGCCTGAATGCAATCCCTCTTCAGGTCTGTTGGCCCTCCCTCCCTCCCCGCCGGATCACTGTTGATAGCCTCTGCTTGGCCCTCCTTCCTCTGGCCTAGCATCCTTCTCTTCAAACACCTTTATCAGAGTGATCCTTCTGAAGCACAAATCTGATCAAACCTGTCTCCTACTCAAAACTCTTTGACGGTCTCAGGATAAAATCCATGTGGTTATTAGTATATACTAAGCCCTTCAAGTTCTGGCTTCTGCCCAAACTTAGCTCTTTTTAAAATTTATTTTTTAATTTAGAAAAGCTTTATTTTTATATAATTTTTAAAGGTTTCTTCCCATTTATAGTTTTTACAAAAGATTGGCTACATTCCCCATGTTGTACAATACATCCTTAAGCCTATCTTACACCCTAGTTTGTACCTCTCACTCCCCAACCCTAAACTTATCTCCTAACCCTTCTCCCAAACACCCTGTGCTCTGACCCTACTTAACTTTTCTCCAAACGCATCATGTTCTTTTCACACCTGTGCACAAGGACCAGGAACACTTTACCTACTTCTTGCTGCTTTTGCCTGACCTCTTTGTCTGGATTAGGTGCCCCGTATCAAAACACTTCTTACACCCACAGAGGAGTTTTCATGTGGAGGTTTCCACCACGTGTCTGTTACTAATGTTATGATTACAAAAAACAAAACAAAACCAAGCAGAAAAAACCCAGATAGATAATCTTGATGCTTGAATTGTGACTTCACTGGAAAATGGTAAAGCACATGAATCCCTAGAAGACTGGATAGGGTGTGGCATCTGAACTTTCCAGAGTCAAACCTTAACCCACTGATTTCTCTCTTCTTCATCCTGCTTGATTGTGTTCCTCCTGCTACTTCCACGATTTAAGAAGGAGCAGCAGCAGGAA